GCAAATGTTGAGGTTTCAGAGGATCAGGCTGTGGGTGTGTGCTGTGCAGGGCTGTGGAGGGAGAACCCAGGTCCTGAAATACAGGCCAAAGACAGGTGCCAGCCAGGCTTCCAGGGGATCTGCAGCAGGACTCAGAGTGGACCCAGGGCCTGGCCAGCCGGCTGCAGGGTGAAGACCAGGCTCTGGGAACATGGAGGACGCTGCTGCCCCTGGATGCAGGTGTGCAGCCATCCCACCACCCGGAAGGGCCTCTTCCTCACAGGCTGCTGAGAGATGGTGCAGCCTGCGGTGCTGTGCACACAGGTGGAGCCAGAAGGACTGGGGGAGGGGGCAGGAAAAGGCGTAGTGGCGGGGACCCCAGGAGGGGACAGGTGATGGGTGTCTACTGGTGTGACAGTAGGATGCAAGTCTCTTCTGAGGAAAGGAAAGGCTGAGAAGGAGAAATTTCAACCAGAGAGGCTGGAGACTTTGGGCTCCTGGAACAGGAGCCGGGAAATAGGGATCATCGAGGCGCAGCATGAGAGCTCTGAGCAAAGCCAAGCAGGGCTCTAAGCCACCTGCGCGGCCTTCACCTTTCCTGCAGGACCCTCTGCTGCTTACTAGGCTCCAAGACAAGAATGGAGCCTGTTTTCCCTCCCTCTCCTGCGTCCAGCAGAGCAGGGAAAGTTGCAAGGCTGACGGGTTAGGTGGTTCCTCTGTGCACAGTGGAGAGGATGTGGGGAGGAAGTCAGCCTGCCCACCTGCTGCCGCCTGGGGAAGGTGGGCTCAGGCACAGAGGGGCAATAGGGGAACGGCCAGACGCTGTGTGACCCACTGGGCCTCCCTGTGAAACGTTCTCTCGGGAAGGATGTCTTGGAGCCACAGTCCACCACAGGGACTGCAGCATGAGCCTCCTCCGGGCTGACCTGTGTGCTGCGCAGGGAGCCTACGGAGGGAGCAGCCACCCTGTGCAGCAGCCACCCTGTGCGGCTTCTCACTGCTGTGCCTCCTGTCTGCCCGTGAACAGCCTCCTTCCATTGCCTGTCCTCAGGGGCCCCATCTTCCACTCCCTGCCATTCCTATTATTTCTCTGGGGCTTCCCTGGGCCCTGGCCGTGCTGTGTCTAGCTCTGGGTGGTTTTGTCCCATGTCTTTCTCCAGTTACGAAGTCAGATCTACAATCTGCCCAGGAAAATGGATGCGGAAGGAAGGACGGTGGGTAATCCTCGAATACACCCTTACAAGTTCCTCACAGATTGGGCTTCACTTGGAAAGAAACCAGGGATCCTAGGCTGCGGAGAGGGTGTGTGCCCATTTGCTGTGTCCAGGCATAGGAGAGCAGGGTACAGCCTGCCAGGCACAGCAAGAAAGCCCTGCAGCAGGCTGAGGGGAGTTACCGGTTCCCACCAGGTGGAGGATGTGGGTGGAGGGCCCAAGCTCCAGGTGTGCCTTCTGCACACTCCGCACGGAGGAAGGCTGAGTGTGTGTGGGGGGCGTATCTGTCCTGGCTCAGAGCTGATTTGCCCATGGACTTTTTGATGATGTCAGTGCAGCCCCAGGGAGTCAGGGCTAACTGTGTCTTAGAGTATTTGTACCATTTCCGCAGAGCCTGGGATGGGCTGTCCTGCCATTCCCGGCCTCCACTGCATTAAGCACATGGGTTGTCCCTCTGTCCGGAAGGAATGGTAGATGCCCAACACTCTGGCTGTAGGTTCTTGGTCCCTCTGGGACTTAGGGGTAGCTGATTCAAGGACCAAAGTGCCACAGGAGGTGAGGACACCCTGTGGCTGAGGGAGGAGCCAGACAAAGTGACAAGCCATGGGCAGGACACAGACTCCCAGGCTTGGGACCTGTTTCCTTCTGAACTTCTTATCATCTCCAGCTTTTTGGGGGGTGCAGCCTCGAAAGGCTGTGGAGACCCTAGGAGAAATGGCTCTAAGCATAACTGTTTATGTAGGTCCCTTCTCAAAGGAGCTTGGCCATGGTGACAGAATGTTAATTAGAGCCACATTTTTATGATCTTTATATAATGTGGTGACTTGTTTCCTAAGACCTGAAAATACCTCCTCATCCTCACACGTACAAAGATGGGGTCACGGAGGTGGCAGAGAGGCTAGGCGACTTGTTAGAGGACCAAGAGAAACTCGTGCAAGTGATGGAGACCTGCCCCAGATTCTAGACCTTATTTCCCCAGTTAACCGTGTCTGGACACTAGGACGGAAGCATTACAATTCCGGGTCTCCTCACTTTCAGAAACTGGTTTCCAGAGCTTCTTACTTTTTATCCATTCCCTAAAAATAAAATAGCTCCCAACAAAGACCCAGTTTAGTCCAAGCCGTCCATCACAATCTTCATTTGGCTGAAGATACAAAAGTTTGCGAAGCCCTTGTTCAAAACTCTAGAAATAGCCCTCTGTTTGATGTGGGTGGCATCGGCCTGGTCATCGGCCTGGGCTTGGCTGGCCTGAATTATCTCCTCTGTCATGCAGCCGTGGCTAAAAAGAGATCTCCGGTGCATAATTGAGAGCCTATTCCCTTCTCCTTTGCAGATTCTGAAGGTGAGCCACTGTCGTCTCCTGGGAAATGGCTGAGGGTGGCAGAGGCTCCAGCCGGAGGCCCAGGAAGGACATGGCCTTGCCTTGCGTCAGCAGCTGCACTGTTGCCCTGGGGGCTCTGACCCAGCCTCCCTTCCGATGGGCTGGATGCCATCATTCAGATGGGGGCCTTGCTTCTTCTCTTTTCTCTTTGGGGATCATTTCCTAGCGAGCAAGAGACTCCTTGCCTTTGCCTTTGCAGCTTCCCTCAGCCTTCAGCTGATTAAAGATTTCAAAATGGTGGGGGAAAGGGAAACGAAGCCAGGAAGGGAACTTCGGGAACCACAGAGCACTTTTAAAGCACTGTAACCACACCATGTGACTTTAAATGGAGCCCGGTTTCAGAACTCTTGTGTCAGCCCTGGAAGCGCTGGCAGCTCCCTGACTGTAAGCAGGGTCCTCGGCCCCTTCTGGTCTACCCATGCTCAGTTCTGCCGTTGCTTCTGTGAGGCAGGGGATGCAGAAAAAGAAGGTCCCGGCCATGGGGTTTGCTGTTTGTTAGCCTGCTCTCAGAGACGCCTGACCTCGTGTCCTGCCCTGGTGCCAGTGCACACTTCTGGTCTCACTGTTCAGGGAGGCTGGGCCAGAGACCCATGGAAGGGGCAAAGCAGAGCTGAGTGCACAGAAGCACCTCCGGCCAGCCAGCCTGTGCCAGGGCCTGTGCCACACCGGCTCCAACCCCAGGGGTGGCCAGCTCTCTGCCTGTGACTGGGAAGAGAGAAGGTGGGTGAAGAGGTTCCGGAAGCCTCCAGTCTGCCAGTCCACTGAAGTCCACCTCCCTCCCGGCAGCCCAAGGCATAGGCTCGGTGCCTTTGGGCAGAATCCAGACCAAATGGCATCCAGGTCACGTCTGGGGAGGCGGGCGACATCGTCCTCCACGGTCAGCCTCACTTGAGGATGTGGAGGAGGAGAGGGAGGAGAAGCAGCCACAATGGGGGCACCAGGAGCAGAGCGAGGGGGGGACTGAGCCCTCAGCCTCTTTCTGGCCTTTGTGCCCACCCAGAGGAGCAGCTCTTCGAGCTCTCCCAGGAGCCAGAATTGGGAGCATCCTCTAGTAATGCCTGAGGGAGCCCTCTCCCCTCACTGAAACGTCAGCTCCCTTCCAACCCAGAAAGCTTTGACCCAGGTGGGCTATTTAAGGGGTAAGGAAGCCCTGGCTGCCCTGGGTATTCAGCTCCACCGCCAGGCCCCTGCCCTCCTGCCTGCCTGGTCTCTGCTGCTGTCCAGCACCGACTCCCCAGGACGAGGCCCCTGGGCCTCCTGGAGGGAAGCAGCTTTCCAGGGGAGCCCAGCCCCGACCTCAGTGCTCTGCAGGCTGAGGTAGGCTGGGACCCAGGAAGGGCGCAGGGTGTTGTCAGCTTCAGAACTTCATGTTTTCCTGCTGCCTCACATCCCCACATCAGGCTGTGAGCAACCTGCCCAGTGACCAGTCACGCCAGGGCAATCATTGGCCCTGCCACAAGCTCCCCTTCCTGCTCCTGATGGGACTGGTGACCTCCCCATGTACCTCCTGAGGTCCCACACAGGGTCTTCCCTTGCTCTAACTCAGCTGAGCCTGTTTCCTTGGCCTCCTTCCAGGGAGCACTCTGGACAAACCGCCTCACCCCTGCCTGTCCTCTGTCCCCACCATCACCTGCACATCATGAAGAGAGGGGAAAGAGAGAGAGAGAGATAGACAGACACACAGACAGACAGAGACAGGGAGGGGAAAGAGAGAGAGAGACTGAAAGACAGAAAAACAGAGAAGGGAGAGAGAGAAGCAGGGACAGAAAGAGGCTTAGGAGACAAATTAAGCATTTAATACCTGGACATGATTTAGATTTTGACTCAAAGTTAAAAACAAAGAACAGTGTTTTGGGTCAGTTAGGAAATCCAACACTGCCTTGTTACTTTGCGACATTACAGAAAGAGTGTGGCAATAATAATGTTTTCTAAAGCATCGCCCTAAGCTGAAGAGAGGCATGCTGGAATATCCAGTGGCATGGTTCTGGGGTGCCTGGGAGGGGCCAGGGCAGATCTCAGGGAGCGGGGGTGGGATGAGGCCGGCTGTGTGTGGGCACCCGGGGAGCTCCGGGTGGTGGGGGAGACCTGGGCCTTTGAAGGTTATCAGAAGGAGGCAGAGGAAAGAGAGAGGAAGAGGAGCGGGAAGAGGAGGAAGGAGGAGGGGGAGGGAGAAGTTTAGGAGAAAGAGGAGGAGGAAGAGGGAGAAGGGCGGGAAGAGGGGCTACAGAAGAGGCTAAGGCTGCCCTGCTGCTCCTGTCCAGGAACCGCACAATGCAACCGGCCCAGGCCCCAGGCAGCCACCCCACCTGGCCATGCTCTGGCCTCGTGCCCTTCTCATCCAGGCCGGGCCATGCCTGTCTCTGGGTGGAGCCCAGTCGGGGCAGTGGCAGGACTCTCCCACCCTCAGCACCCGGGGCAGCACTCACTGTGGAGAGGCAGCCCCTCTGCTCCCGGAGGACAGCGGCACAGCCCAGGAAGCCAGTCACCGTGACAAGAGCACCCGCGGAGATGAGGGTGTAGGCCGAGGCGGCAAAGGTGCTGGAGGCTAGGATGCTGAGGTAGCCGCTCTTCTCGGCCAGGGTCCAGACACCCACGGCCATCACTGCTGCGCCGCCCACCTGCAGGAGATGAGACAGGGTGGAGGCAGGGCCTGCTGGACGCACATGCTGTCCATGCAACTAGCTCCCTTCCAAACAGCCGTGAGAAGCTTCTGGTGTGGGTTTGCTGTGAGGATCGGAGGCCTGGCCGCGTGGAGCCTCACTCAGGGTCCTCCTGCCTGGGAGTGAGCCGAGAGCCAGATTTTGACTCTGGGCCTGATCCCAGTGCCAGGCCCCTCCGAGGGTGCCTGTGAGCAGGGATGGGTGCACCTGTGGGGCCTTAACCCAGCCATCCAGAGGTCACTGATGGCTCCACTGCTGCCACCTTCCTCGGGTGGCACTTTCAGTGCTGCCGCTCCCTGGGTCTTCCATCAGGGACTCTCAGGTCTGTTCTGGAGATAAAGTGGCTGCAGGAAAGGCCAAGGGCCATAGTCCTGCCTGGGGGGCAGGGCCACCCACTTAGCCCCACTGCCTACCCCCGGGATGGTCATTGTGCTTCATGCTATCCACAGAGGATAGGGAGGGAGCTGTCTTTCTCACTGATGGTCTGTTTTCCTCCCCGTCCTGAGGGGGTACTGCCTACTGCAGTCAGAGGGCACAGGGAAGACATGGCAGGGCCCTCAATAAGGCTGAATGACTGTCAGTGACTGTCACACTGTGGAGCCGTGTGCGTGTGTGTGCGTGCGTGCACCCTCAGGGTGCCAGTGTGGAACGCTAGGGAGCATGCCTGGGATGTGAGAGGACACCTGGGACTTCTAACCACATGGCCGCGAGGGAGGACTTCTGCTGCCCTCATTCCCCGGCCCCCACTTAAGAAAGGTTCCCATTTAAGGATGGATGGTGGATGCTCCTCAAGGGGTCCTGGGTGTGACCAAAGCTAGAGGAGCACCCACACATCCTGGGGCTGCATCCACTCCTTCAGTGCTTTTCCTTGTCTGCCTGCTGCAGGCAACGGCATTCCCTGTTCACTGTTCTGGGCAGCCTTCAGCTGAGGGGTGGAAGACAGCTCTCAGGGATTAACATGCGCCAGGCGTCTATACACTCGGTGTGTGTGCACTTGGCCATTGCCCTTCTGAACTGTGAGGGTGGGCAGCGTGTATGGCTGTCTGCAGATGAGGAAACCGAGGCTGGGGAGGATAAGAAAGTGCCCAAGTTGACACCATTAGAGTTTCAGAACTGAGATTCAAGATCAGGTCTTCTGGGGGCAAATCCAGGGCTCTGTCTCTGGATGCCATGGAATGGATGGGCCTGCATCTCCACCCCTGCTTTCAAAACAGCTCTGACTTCTTCCAAGTGCTATTTCACCTTCAGTGGTTCCCCCTCCAGCTGTGAGAACCAGGTGGAAGGATGTCACCTGGGGCCACAGCTGGGCCACCCAGGTGAATGGGACAGGAAGTGGCATCTCTCTTCCACCCCACCCCACGACTCACACTTCTCTCTCACATTTCAGGCTCCCCAAGACTGGGATGCATCCTGTGATTAACAACCTAAGGTACTTGGCAGCACTGTTTCTCATGGAACAGAGATCAGTGACATGTCTTACAACTGCTGCTGTCTTAGCTCTGGTGAACCCCAGGTTCAATAATTCCCCCAGTTCTCCATGGTCGTGGGTTATCAATGGTCCACCCAGCCTTGGCAAGCCAGGGCTTTCCTGAGTGTGAGGCAATGGAGCTGAACATGGGACGAGGCGGCCCCTCCTCGCCCCCCGCATAACCAGTGAGACTGTCCGCAAAGCATCCCACACACGCTGATTTTTGTCCCTTACGACATTTCTGGAAGGCTTGGGTGAAAGCCTCAACTTTGTACAACCAGCTGGGTGACCCAAACATAGTCCATCAAGCTCTCAGATAGACCTCAGCTTTTAGCTCTCAAATAAGGGAGTTATTAGGTCAGTAGTTTCCAGGCTATATCCACTCAGAACCTTTTCATTTCTTTTTCCCAAGGTCAGACTTTGGCCTACCAAACACAGTGAGTTAATTAAATGATAATTCCTTTCTCATTTTTTATTAATCAAAGACATGTGATAGCGTCAGGTAGAGGTCCTGAACACCAGTCAGCTTGCTGGTCAATCCAACCATGCTGAGTTGCTCTCACCCCAGCCAAAGCCAGGAAATTTGGCCTCTAATGGATGATGTCCATGGAAGGGTGCACGTCCTCTATTTGCCGTGAGCTGCTTGACCCTGTTTTCCCCAAACCAGAGTGTAGGCTGAGCAACTGGATCCAGGATCACCAGAATACGTCTGCTTGGGGCTGGGGACAGTTAATGATCATGTCCTGGGGGACAAGAAGCCAATGATGAAAGGATTTGGGTCTCTTGTCCAGAGAGATTGCCTTGCACATTAAATAAGACATTCAGATCCAGGGGCCGAAGACCATTCCTGAACTAGGTGAGGAGCTTTGGTTGATGGGTTCTAAAGTCTTCTCCACCTCTATGTCCCTGTTAAGCCCTGGCTCCACAATCACCTAGGGAGTCAGGAGAAACGGAGGCCACATTCCAGACCAATGAGCATCCTTGGCAGTGGGGCTAGGCATGAGCATTTTCTCAAGTTCCCAGGGAGAAGCACAGCCCTGATTTCATAACTAGTAGGGCTCCAAGAGTTCTGCTCCCGTCCCCCAGTGGGTGGCGTTGTGCTGACTTCAGAACACACCTGGCTTTGGACCTGACCACGTTGCTCTGGGAGGGTGCACTGAAGCTTCGCGCTTCCCCAGGGAGTAGTTGCTAGGAGCACTGTAGACCTTTGCTCAGGACTTGAACTCTAGCCTCCTCTCCACCCTTTGTAGAAGCTTTGAGGTAGAAGGTGGGATAATGAGAAGCATAATTTTCCGTCAGCCCAGGTAGAATCAGATTAGGTAGAAAAGTAAAATGCAACTCCCAGGGAAGGTGTGGGGCCATGGGAAACATGGTGGAGGGAGAAGTGGGCTGCTCCAGCCAGACTAGAATCTTGCAAAGCAGGCTGAGCATGCAGGTGGGCCAGGGTGGCAGACGGGTCCCCAGTGCATGGTCCCCGACGACGCAGTGTCGGGAGGGATCTGCAGGGATATGCTGCCCTGAAAAGGTCTGGAAAACAACAAAGCCAGGCTCATTCTGGTGTCTGGAAGTCAGGAGATGCATCTTCAGCCCTCCCAGTGCATGGGACACCTGGTGAGGGCAGCAGGGAAAGGGACACCACCTGTGAGTAGCCTGAAGGAACAAGAGTCCAAGTTCTGCCTGGGACTTGGTCAGCTCTTTGGAAAACCACCTTTCCTGCAGACAGGAGAGGAAAAGCTGCCAAATGTGGAATGGGGGGTAGAAGTCAGAGGCCCTGGGCCCAGTCCTGCTGTGCCCCTGACAGCTGTGTGGTGGTGGGATGGACATGCAGCCTCTCTGTGTCTCCCTTCTTCACCTGTAACCCGGGGTGCTGGCTGGGAATAACTCCAAGTCCCTACGTGGGTACCCCAACGCCCCTGTAAGTACCAGGGGCAAACTTCTGCCAGTGCACCTCCAGCAGGGTGCTTCCGACCACGGCTCTGGAGGAAACCTCCTAAGCAGCAGAAAGAGGGGCAGAAGAGGCAGGGAGAGGAGGACCAGTGGCTCGGGGTACTCTGACCCCAGGCAGACTCAGCAGGGCATTTCATGAAACCGGCCTTGCGCTCTGTGGAATATTAGCTACTATAGCTTCAAAGCTGTCGCCTGTGGCCAATGAGCCAGAAAATCCTGCAGCGGGTAAAGCTGGTGTGGCAGGCAGGAGGACACCCAGGAACCGCCCATGACAGAAAAGGAACTGCCAGCACGTTGTTCAGGTCACTGCGAGGTTAGACCAGGGTTAGCTGAGCAGCCACGCATGCGAGGCCGGGTTGGAACCAAAGCTGCAGACCCACAGGAAAGCTGCCAGAGGGCCTGGGAGCAGGGCAGGGATAGGAGCGGCATGGGCAGGCCCTGGGGTCATAGTGGGGAAGCATGGCCTGGCCGGGAAGGCCCTCTCCCTCCAGGCCGGGGAAGCCCACGGCACCGGGGTCAGGACACACACCGCCACAGCATGACCTATGCTCTCTGCTGAGCACCAGGCTGCTCTGGAAGGGTCTGGGGCAGGGCTCACCCACTGGGACCGCACAGCCATCCATGCACTTGGCCCTGTGGCCCGCCCCGACCTGACAGCAGGGCCACATGTACCCTGTCTGCTCTCAGCCCCGCTTCCTGTCCCACCTGGAGGCGCCAGAGTCCTGCTTCCTCTGGCCTGGGCAGTGGACATCACTAAGGGTGCATCAGTGGGGTGGTCAGAGGGAAGACTTGGGGGTGAGAGCCCAAGTCCCATCCGAGCCCTGGCTTGATCGGCCATGAGAATCTGCACAAGCTAGGCAGCCTCTCTGGGACTCAGGTTTCCTCTTCCTTCTTTCTCTCCTGCTGAACTTCTACACATCCTCCTAAATTCATTTCAAGGGGGCCAGCTGCTCTCACCTGTGGGCAGGGCCGTCCCTCAGGACCCCTGTGACACCACCTCCTCCTTCCCGGGAGCCCTCAGCATGGCAGGGGGACCCCAGCCCCAGAGCACAGCCCTCTGCCCCAGAAGTCCATGGTGAGTGTGCCACTCGGTGGATGGGACTTGGCTGGGGCTGCACAGGTAAACTGCTCTCCACACTGCTGTATTTGCTGGTTTCTTGGGCAATGACACTTTCTCCCTGCTATATGACCATTATTTTAAAGGGGCAGTCTATACCCGATGGGGAGGGCCTCTTCTTAGGTTGTTAGGGCCTCAGTGCCAGGCTGCTGTGCCTTTATTCTCCTTCAGCACCGCCCATGGAGCATCTGCTTGGCAGTGCAGCCTCTCAGATCGCTGAGGGCACAGCCTGATAGCGCCCCTCTCCGTCACTTGTGGGTGGCCAGGTGGAAAGACTCGGTCACCACCAGGTGATGCCTGCCAGGGAGGAAGCCAAGTGAGTAACTTGCACACTTGGCCTGGGGTCAGGGAGAAGCCGAGGAGACCTTTGAGCCCACTGTTCCTCAGGCTGTGGGGCCCACTGCCCACAAGCGGGGTCCTAGGGTT